AAATATATAAAATTTTAAAAAATCTTGAAAAAATTTTAATAATAAAAATTTTTAAACAAAAACTTTAAAATTTTATTCATATTTGCAGATTTTTGAAATTCATACAGATCACTGACGCACCCCAAAAAATTTAGTTATACAAAATAGAGTGTGTCAACTAGTTGATATCCAATAATATTTAGTATTAAAATCATTTGTTGAACTCAAAACCAATATGCACAATTGATTTGAAACATTGTAAACTTAGATTTATATAATAAAAACGGATTTAGTAAATATCTGATTTGACAAGTTATCGATTTTACAGAATCAGTTTTGGAAGATTCAATAGTATGTTGTTATGCCTGAAACTTTTTTCTTTTTCTTTATTTGAGTGTTGCTAAAAGAAAACCCAAATATAAATCATATTTAAATTTTCAAGTTTTCTTTTAGCAACACTCATTTAGTATTTTATTTAGAAAAATGATTATTGTGGTGTATTGGAGCCTATAACTTCCAGAGAGAGTTAAAAGCTCCCAGTGGGAGTTTAAGACTTCAAACTAAATTTATGAATATATAAGGGTGTGGTTTCATTCTGCGAAAGAAATAATGGTTGTTAGACAATTGTTATTAGTATTTAGTATTATTGTAATAATCCAATGTATTGATTTATGTTAATAAAGAAAAACTCTATAACCTGTAATTATATATTAGTTTATTGATTTAAATCATTTAACCTTAATCACAATTGTTTATGATCGAAGCTAAATTGGTCCAAGACCCTATAAGCTCTCTTACTAGTAAATGATATAAAATTATGCAATTTGGTTTAATCACACCAAATCACATAATTTCTGTATCCCTGCCGAAGATATATAATATGTACCCACATCACATATCAGGTAGGTGAAAAGTCCTCAAACAGAACCTTTTTTTTAGATGCTAGTTATTATTTAATGGTTACTTTATTATACCAGTACATTGCAAATATATATCATCACAAAAAAAATTATTATAAGTAGGGATATTAAAAAGGTTCTGTTTAGGAACTTTTCCTACCCAGTATATTTAATATATTATAAGTACATACATAATAAAACTTTTATTTATTATTTATTAATTTAAAGTATATAATTTGCTTTTAACTAACTATTCTTACTATCTGATCCTATTTTTTGTCCTAACCCTAAACTTAACCTTATTTATAACTAAAAACCCATTCCTACCCATCCGATCCTATTTTTAGTTCTGTTTCTCACCCAAAAACTAACTCTAAATAAATTTATTATTACTGCTTTGTGGAAATTATTTTTTACATCACATAATATCTTTAAATTATTTCATTCGCATTAATAATTTCATTTAATCTGTATAGAGTTTCAATCCATTAACCATTTATCTATATATTCATAATCTGTTATTCAAGTATCTGATCTAAATTTATCTGAATATCCGTTAACTATTGATATCCGAATTATTTATCTGAATATTTGTTAGATTTTCTGAATAAAGAATATCTAGATAAATTCAGATATAGATAAATAGATACAGATTTATCTGAATTGAAACTCTAAACCTATAAGTATGAAAAATAATTTCTTAATCATTGGAATTAAAATTACAAAACAAGTTTACATAAATACTTATCTACTATTCTGTAATATATCCAAATTTCTTATAAGCATCTACCCTAATCTTAATGAAATTTAAAATTAAGGATGCTTTCAAGCACCTAATTAATAGGCCAGAACTTGATTTTAATCAATTGAAACTAATTTAGCTAACCAAGTGAACTCATTATCACAATAAAAAAATACTGTAATTAATCATATGAATACACGAGAGGGAAAATCAGTAAATAAAAATTTAGAATCTAAAAAAATCATGATCGGTATTTTGATAATTTCAGTAATAAATTATTGTATATTACTGAAATTATCAAGGATCCAAATTTTTACTTACTGATTTTCCCTCTTGCGCACTCATATGTTCACTTTGCTTCCCTTAGTTTATCAAGCCAACCAGTTGAACCGAAAGCTAAACATCTCTGAAACTCATGAGAGTAAGGTTTAAAAAGCTTTACTTCACTCTCCTTAGCTCAAGCCAACCTGTTGAATGACAGTTGGATATTCCTGAATTTCAGTAAAGTATGGCTTTTACTTTGTTTTCCTCAGCTTTAGTAGAACCAGGTGCTGGATATTCTGAAATTTGATAAAATAAGGCTTGAAGGTTTTTACTTTACTTCTTTCAAAACAACCAATTTAACTAAGAGATGAACATTCCTGAAATTTAGTCGAGTAAGGCTTAAAAGGCTTTTGCTTTGCTCCTCTCAGTCTAGTAATAAAATAAATAAAAGTTTTATATTAATTATGCACAATAAAAACTCATAAACCTAGATATAGTACTTACCAAATATAAATGAAGAAAATCAGGTTTTGGGTTTTCAAGTTCATTATTTGTTATTTACCAGATTTAGCATATTATATATGTTAACAATTAGATGTTCACGTGCTGAATCTGGTAAATAAAAAATAATAAACTCAAAAGCCCAAAAACCTATTTTCTCTTTGCAGTACTCTAATGATCTCAATATTGCAATATAATTGAAGAGATTTTTAGCAATTAAATTTGCTAACATATGTTAGTAATTCTATAACATTTTATATAAATTAATAGTAAACTTGTTCAATATTACACTTACTGCTAATAATTTAGTTATACTCAATCTCCACGATAGATCCAATAAAATCTCAACCTGCTTGAGCAGCTTTTGTCCATTGAAAATTTCGTCTCTATTAATAAAACAGTTTTAATTAATAAATTATAAGCTTATTATATATCAAAAAAAAAATTATAACTTTTTAAATACTAAAGTAGATTAGAAATCATAAGATCTGTTGACCTTATAAATCTAAATATCTGTTAGCAATCAGTATGCTTACTAACCAGCAATTGGTTTTGAGGATTGGTTTTAAGAACAGATGATTAGTTTGATATGCTTTTTAATATATAAAATTTTGTTTTATAAATTTTATAACTAGATAATTTGGGGTGAGATCATCACTAATTTAGGGTATAAAATTTTATTTAATATAAAATTTAGAACCCTAAAATCAGGCAAATTCCAAAAATCTGCAGATATATACTTAAAAGTTTATTAGTAATTTTAAAAAATTTTTATAATAAAGTTTATAAAATATATTTTCAAGAATATATTCTATAATAAATATATACCGTGGATGTGGCAACTTAGTGAAATGGTTAAGTTGTCGCATCCCCAAGTGATTTGTTGGCTAGGTAGAGAGTTCGAAACCCATTAGCGACGAATTTCGAAAAATTCTACCTGTATGACGTTACTGCCGTCTGATTAATGGTTGGAACGAGATCTCTTAACTCTGATAGCACCAACAGGATTGGGAGATCATAAAGTATTTGTGTGATGCATGAGTTATACAAATAAGCTTCCAGATCGTTATAAATTCAGAAAACTAGGAAGGACGATGGAACACGCTTGGCAAGATCTGAGTAGAGAGGTAGCATAGATCTTTGATAGTACTATGTAAAGAATTGTTATCGAGAGAACTGGCGAAACTGAATAGGACCGAAGTGTTTAGCAAGGCACTCCACCAATCAGGCCACCAGAAGAGTAACTAGAGGAAAAGGGCCCAACTGTAGGAACCAGGAGCAAGTCACAGCCCTTCCAGGCCATCTGGATTGGTAGTTTGGGATTGTTGAGATTAAAATCGATGATAGTCTGTAAAGTATGTACTGGGGTTTGGGTAAACTCTACAAAGTTAAAAGTAAGTAATGTTAGCAGTCTTAGCTTACAAATACTTGTTCTCGGACTTAGTGTAAGTTATCGAAGTCTAGGTTAGCCAGATTGTAAGTACAGAAAGCTCTAGCAGGTTTACCTTGAAGATAAAGAGCTCTCTAAAATAGTTGAAGTCTGCTTTAAAATTCTAAGCTGGGTGTCTGAAAATAAAAGATCTGAATAGATCTCACTTGATTATAATAGTTAACCCTATAGGTGCAGAGAGTTTAAATAGATAATCCTCTAGTTGGGTTATAGGTATAGCATCTAGTATAGAACTTAGTAATAAGCGGACTACTTAAATAGATAATCAAAAGTTGTATTTGTGGCTAGTATATACTTTCCAAATATATATACAGTATGAGCTATCCTGAAAAGAGAGAGTTTATTGTATAGTAAAAGTTAACTAATAATTGAATAAAAGGAGACAGCCAAGAAATCATCTTAATATCAAAAAAAAAAATAAAAATAAAAAATATATTTGAATAAAATATAATCTAAAAAATTAATATATAATCTAATATTTAGAATTATATTTGCTATTATAACTTTATTTATTTATTTTTTTTTACTTTAGCTATCTTGCTAGTGATCTTTTATTAAGATTATTATATTATCCCTTAGATTGTAGTAGAA